GGAAGGGAGAAAGGGGGAGGGAGAAATGGAGGAAGAGGGGAGGGAGATGGAGAGGAACAGTGGGGGAGGGGAGGGAGAAAGGGAGGGGGAGAGTGTTTGTGTTTGTGGGTGTGTCTCTGGAACTTCTGCTGGATGTAACAGGATATTTAGTACAGGACTCTATTTTCTCACTGTAAGTAACTATAAAAATTGACAACATATCTGATCCAATTTTGAAATAATGAATAAGAGGCAGCGTTAAGACAGTGGAGGAGGTGCAATTAAAAAAAGGGATTCCCATTATGCCTCCAGATTTTTACCTGGAGGCATTTGGGGGACAAGGGCATAGAACCTTGAAGGAAAAAGCCACAGAGACTACAGTTCTATGTGTCTGAGGAGGCTGACATGTTCTAGGGACAGTACCAAAGAGAAGGAACCCTCAGAGCAAAAGGGGCTCAGAAATTTGAGTCAGGTGCCCTTCAGTCTTGGGTCGAATAGTCATTTGTAGATTCAGGCAGTTAAATTCCGAAGTCCAAGCAAAGAAAAACTTGAAGAAAGAACTTCCAGATGACTGCAAACCAAGAAATTCCCTCAGTGCACACACAGCACCAGATGGCATTTGAGCTCTGGATCAGCCACAGCAGAGATCCTGCACTGGAAAGGTATTTTTCAGGTGCAAGAAAAGTAATGTCTTAGGAGCAGGGTTAAGTTAGCCACAAACAGTAGCTACTCTAAAATTTGCTTTAGGACTGGGGAGATAGCTCGGTGGTCTAGGCACCTGCCTGGCAAGCTCAAGGCCCTGAGTTCAATCCCTGGTACTGCATGCCATGCCAGCCACCGAAACCAGGCAAGGTGGTACATATCTGTAATTCCAGTGCTGGGGAGACTGAGGCAGGAGGATCACTATGAGTCTGAGCTGCATAGCGAGACCCTGTACCAAAATAAATGAATAAAATAAAAATAAAGTTTTTTGCTTTAACAAACTGTTCTGTAAGTTGACTGTCCAAGCAAAACTCAACACTCTTTAAAGATGACAACAAAATCTAGACTTTTTTTTTTTTGGCTGGCTCAGCTCACCCTGAAGGTGGGGCTGGCATGGCATGTAGTGCTGGGGATTGAACCTCGGTCTCCCGTGCCTGCCAAAGCTTTCCAAAGCAGGTGCTTTAGACCTCTGAGCTATGCTGCCAGCTCAAAATCTAGACATTTAATGATGAAACATTCACAATATCCAGTATCTAATAAAAAATAACCAGAAATAAGAAATAATCCAAAGCAGGAAAAACAGTCCATTAAAAGCCAAGAGGACAGAGATGAAAAGATTAACAGATGAAGACTTTTAACAAAACCCGCAGCTCCGATAGCTGTAAAACCCTAACAGAAGGTTCACTGGATGAGGCTGGCGATGCGTTAAGCCACTGTGGAAGAAAAAACACAATGAGCTTTGACATATGCCGTGGCTTAGACCTAAAGTGCTCTCCTAAAGCAGCGATAGTGAGCCTACAGCACACGTTATTTTGCTTTTAAGACAAAAGATGTTAGTGTAAAGTTGCTTTTTCCAAACTACAAGCTCAGTGTTAATTACAGTGCTGGCGCTGTGCACTAAGTGGGTTTTTGCTTAGTTTGGGCACGTGTCTCTCAAAAACCTGCCATCACCTCCCAAGACTGCATGTGTGCGGAGGGGGGGACTTCAGAAGGGGAGCAGGCCGTGCGACACTGACGGACGCAATACCCACAGCTGAATGGCGGTGTCTGGCGGGCGGGCACGGCTCCAGGAGGCGGGGCCCTCCTTCCCTGCTTGGCTCCAAAGAGCATAAACCTCCAGGAAGCTTTCCCCTTGAGCCAGCTGAGCACAGCCACCCCTCTCAGAACCCACACCCCAAAGAAAACTCCTATGAACTGCAGGTGTGCAGTATTTTGTCCTGAAGTTATAAAGCTGAGCGATACAACACATCAACCACTTGGATGTCCATTCAAGTACTGATTAACCTGAAAAAAAAAATCATGTGGGCAGGTGTCATTTCAACCAGCTGATCCTTGTACTGAATAAATTTGACGAAATTGTCCTTTTCATATTTTCTTGGTTACTTTTCTCTCCTTGCTGAGACAAAATACCTAACACCCAAAATTAAGAGAGGAAAGGTTTATTTATCTCACAGTTTGCGGAAGCTTCGGTCCATACTTGGCTGGTCCCAAGGCAGAGCGGCACGTGGCAGAGGGCAGCCTTTCAAGGTGGCGGAAACCAGCACAAGCAGCAGGAGCAACGGGGGAAGGTGGAGGACGAGCCTCTTTCCGCCCCTTATACTGTACGCGGGCCACTCACCCTCGGGTGGGCGGAGCACTTACAGCTCCGGGCCAGCACTAGATGACGACCTCATCACAAACTAGATTTAGCCCCCTTCATAAAGCCCACTCGCCTTGACTACACAAGGCTTTGGGGATACAGCTAGACAAACCTTAACAATCATCTTATAAACATTATGCAACTTTTGGTCATGTTGTATTTAAATAACTGGACTGGTAGTTAATAGGAAACAAAGATGATTTTTAAAAAGTTAAAAAACACCTCACTAACCTGTGATATATAACAGTACGCAGTAGTGACAGAGTAGTGATAAAACACGTGGAACTGGAGACACGGAAGTAGAACAGAGGAAGACATGAAAAGATGAGGAATTTCACGAAGACTACAAATGACAGGCTCCAGTAGGACCCGTGGCGGGAATGATGCTCTAAGAGCACCTGCTCTGGGGAGCGCTCTCCAGGGCGATATCGAAAGGCACTCCTGGACGCAACACGGATGCCTGCGAGCAAGCAGCCAGAGCAGTGCTGTGCCAGGGACAGGGCTGGCTGACACACGGGATTATGTCACCTGGGATTAAAGGGTGAGGCTGGTGGACCCCTCCAGCTGGACCTATGGGCTTGGGGCAAAACAATTTTGCACGATGTCGTCTTTATTAGAGTTTTTCGGGGAGAACACTTTCCTGTTTCCCGCTCGCCTTAGGACTGCAGACACCTTTGGTCTAGGCGCCATCTGAGCGCGTCCCTCAAGGGTGTGGGGTGGAGGCTTCTTCCCAAGGCCATGACCTTAAGAAGTGGTAGAGGCTTGGAAGGTGGGGCCTCCTGGAAGATGATGCGGGCCTGGGCCAGCCCTGGAGGGGCGGCTGCCGGCCTCCAAGTCCACCTACCACGGGGCCTGGAGTCGGGCAGAAGCTCACACGTGGCCTCGAGCCATGAGCTGAATAAATTTAATTTCTTCATAAGTTATCTAGCCCCGGTATGCTGTCACACCAAAGGAAAATGGAGTAATACTCTGCAAGGGCAGGACGGAAGCGGACCCCTTCTCAGGAGATGTGCCTAGAAGGATGAAGCGCTTCTCGGGGAGTACACCAGCAAACACGATGCTCCCTTAATGAGCAGACTGCGTAACTCTCCAACTGTAGTGAGAGGCACGTTCCAGTGCAGGTTTATCTCCCGCTGGCCTTCCAAGTCGGCGCAGTACGGAAGTGCGCACAAAACACGCACCAGAGCTTGCTCTGCCGTCTCACTACGCGGCCCCGCTGTGCGCTTCTCCCGAGTCTTCACGGTGAAGACGCGGCTGCACACGTCACTGAACGAGTACTGCGCAATCTCAGCAGTTCCCAAGCTGACTATTCATCTATGCACCCAGGAAACTTAGAAATTTTCTTTTCAGGTCCTTTGTGGTAATGATTTATACAACAAATTGGGACAGCATGAATGAGTTGTACAGGATGAAAATCAGAATATTTGGATGAATAGGGTTTAAGGGCATACAGAGATGTAACATTTTGTGCAGTTGCAAGCTGAGTATAGAATGTTAAAATAATATTTAAGAGGCTGGGCTATTTATGGCTTTTAATAGTCTCTCCTGTATGTCGTTTCCAAGTTGGCAACAGCAAAACCATGGCAACAGGAAATCCTTCCCTGCAATGGAGTTTATGAATGCTTTTCTGTTTTCATGACTCAATTCCATATTTAATTTCCTGTACAAAAAAAAAAAAAATCAGAGAAATTACTATAGACAGCACTACAGATGTGCCAGCCAAAGACCCTTGAAGAAAAACAGATCACAGGTGTCTATGGAATAATTTTGAGATAAATTTAAAACTGCCTCCATGTAGACATGCAGAAGTCAACATATTCTACCAAAATAGCTGAAAACTTGACTACGGATGATTTGAGTTGTGGGAGTGCAGAATCTTACAACACCGTATGTCATAGTTCAATGGATTTCTTCTTTACTATGTCTTCAATCAACAAAGGTCAAAGTTTTAAAAACCTTTTCTTAAACTTTGGATATTAATAACAGTAACAAAGAACAAAAATCCTAGAAGAATATGAAAACAAGAAAACCACACAAAGGCTGATTATACATTCAAAAGCAGGCAGATCCTAAAATAAGTTAATGAAAGCAAGGAACTCTAGGGCTTAGGATCAGAGGGCTGTTAAGTTTCTGTAGGTTATTTATTTATTTTTTAGTGCAGGGTCTACAGGGGCTAACTACACAGATCACACTCATAGTGACTCCCCTGTTTTCATTCAGCTTCCCAAGTGCTGGGATTACAGACAAGTACCCACACCCAGTCTCAACTGCCCTCTCAGCGTGCCCTGGGGCAGGGCTGGCATGGAAGGCCAGGGTTTGACCCTCCAGCCTAAGCAGGAGCTTTAATCTGCTGAGCTATCTGGCTGGCCCTACAGTTTCTATAGGTTTTAATCCTCCACCATTCACCTAGGGGTAACAAGATCTAAGCACGCTGCCAGGAGAGTGCTGCACAATCTGTGTCCGCTCCCTTATTCAGTCCCCATCTCTGCCAGTCCAATTCTAGCTACCTGGGTCATGGGGAACTGTGCTGGGGCTACACCCTCCCTCTCTGGCCTTGTCGCCCTCTTCCAGACCCGTGTTGGTGATGAGGGGCAGCGCTATCTTACAGGGGACGTAGCAGATGCACATCAGCACGGCAGGACGAGAACAAGCACGGCAGGCGGACAGCAGCGCTTCTTACTTTTGGTGTCAAGTTGTGCGCGATACTTCTCAAATCCTTTTAGCCGAACTCGCTCTCCCAACAGCTGCAGGAATTCCTCCAACGCTGGGCCTGCTGATTCATTGTTATACATCTCCTCTTCCGTGCTCTGGCCAGCTTTGCAGTACATGATGCCAACTTTCTGCTGATAGTTCAGCTGTGGAGGCAGGCAACACAGCCCATGAGCAGAGCAGACACATTCTGTCCCACTTAAGCCGCTAACATGCCCCGCGGGCATGTGACACACAAACACCTAGTGCTGCTCTTGAGGTCCTTCTGTCTTAATGCTCCAGTCTCTGATCCAACAACCACACTGGAACAGCATTTCTAATCCCATGAATTAAGAGCAAAGGCCAGAAAGTAAATAAAAATGTCCTGTATTTCAAGATTATAAATCATTAGAACAGATGTGGATATTGTAGGAAATTTCTTCCAATAGGTTACAAAGTACAAAATAAGGCTTTAAAAATGGCCTGACAACAAAAGGCAGGTCTTTTTCAATGATCTTCCCCTTTTAAAAAGTGAAGGCTTTATAAAAATTTAAAAGCAGAGACCTACTTTATAGAACCTACTTGAAAATAGAATTTTTTGCCCTAAAAATCTATTAATAGCCTTGGTTTGGGGAGGGGAAAATCAGAGAAAACCTGTCATCTACCACTATTCGGCAAACACACTCCAAAGCCTTGGCTACCTCTGCTACAGCTCTAGCCCTGTCAACGATATATGCAGAAGCTTTGAGAGGTGGGCACACCTGTGAACCCAGCAGGGGAGACTGAGGCAGGCATCACCTGGGCTGCAGCAGCCCGTGCGAGGCAGTGAGTCCACAGAGAGCCTGAGTGAATGGCGTAGAACGACCCTGTCTTACAGACAAAGACACAATACCCTCCCACAAAGCCCACTATACTCAGAGGAACATCTTTTCCAAGTATTTTTCTAGAAGGCCAGCATCTGAAGAGAACTTCTGAAAAAGCGCTTTACACTGGCCGACCAGCAGGCAGCACGCATCCGTTACACACGCACAGCTAGGATGAAGCCTTCAAACTTTAAATGTGGCCAAACACTAATCAAGAACAGTCTTTTTTTTTTTTTGGCAGAACCGGGGATTGAACTCAGGTCCTTGTGCTTGCCAGGCAAATGCTTATTCCACTGAGCCATCTCCCCGGCCCCCGAAGAACAGTCATTATTGAAAAATTTCATAATTCTGCAAGCTAGTTTTTGGAGGTACTGGTCATTTAACAAGGAATGAGCCTGCAATATAAAACTTTAGGTTCTTAATTCTTCAGAGCCATCAGGACAATACTTAGTGCCAATTCTTTATCCAGAGTGGTACTGCTACAACTACATGTTAAGTTCTCATCTAATATTAAAAAAAAAAAAAAGACAGCAAGAGATGAAAATTTTAAGTTATTTTTAAGACAAGGTCTCACTGTGCCGTCCAGCTGGCCCTGAACTTTGGGGCTCGAGTGGTCCTTCTGCCTTCACCTCCTGAGTGCTGGGACTATAGGCGCGCATGACTGGGGCTGGTGAGGTACAATTTCGATAGCAAACATGTTGAATACTTACTATCTACAAACTCTAAGGCCAGGGTCTAACTGGCATCACCTTTTGCTCCTCACGATGGCCCCCAGACCTTACCTCTGACGGATACGCAGAGGAAAGATGACAGAACAGGGGAGGGTGCAGCCCTAACTGCAGCCCTGTGACAGGGCCCCAGCATCCTCGGACTCAGCCAGACTCACCCTGCTCCACTTCCCTCACTGCAGAGAGAGGCCCACAGACTTTATTTAAAGTTCCAACGCTGAAAGGTAAAAACCAAATTTAAACAAACAGATTTGGCATCCATATTTGATATGGGGCTGACATTAGTACTTTTAATTTATTCTTGCATGAATATTCATATTTCTCCCTGCATAAATATTAATGTGTCTGACTCTGGAGTGCTGCCTCAGATTACACTGGGAATATCAGTATATGAGGCACGTATTTTATTTCCTTTCTAAAATTTAAAAATTTCTGAGTTCTGAAACATATTCAGCCCCTGCCGCTTTAGTCCATTCAGGCTTTAGTCCACTCAGGACTATGGACCTGAATTACCTTTTCCAAGTTTCTAAATTAAATGGTTCAAAATAGTCCTAATATGGAAAATGTCACTTGGGAAAACAAAACTCCAAACCGCTGCGCCTGCGGGTCCCTACTCTCCTGCACCCTGCCCACTGGACAAGGAGGCTCCCGGCGGGAGTGCTCCCCACAGCGTGCAGCTGCCTGCCTGCTGTGCTCCTGCGAGTGGAAGGTGAAGCCCCAAGGGCGAAACTCCAAGCAGCAGGTACACAGTGCTGAAACGGAGCCTTTCTGCAAGAGCATTTCAGAATATGAGTTGACCTCGTCGCTAATTAGTTATCGAATACATATAGGGAACTGTCTTGTATACCAAAGAAAATATAACAAAAACCAAGGCAAACCCTGCTGCACACCGCTGACATGTAACCCTTTCCCAGCGGGCCTGTCTGCCACACTTGAATGTGGCTACCACTAAGCGAGGACCTCCCACAGGTAGTGTTCATCTTGGCTTTAGAAATGAACAGAGCACTCTCTTGGGCTTAACAATGGCAGAGCCGGCACGGGCCCATTACAAAGGAGCCCTGAATGCTACTTACTGGCCCCACGCCAGCCACCCTCGCTGTGCGGAGAGCCATCAAGGACAAAGCCACTGGGAAGGGGGAAGAGGTTTTCAGTGCTCTGCTGTGCGGCTGCCTGCCACATCAGCCTCTACGGGAAGACACAAAACAAAAGTCACCCTGCTCAACAGGAAGCATTTCTGTGGCACTGGATTTGTGTAGGCTTTTAAAAATGTCTTAGATAAAGGTCTAAGATTTCACCATGCAACATAAAAAAGAATTTATTCATCTAAAAAATAACTCTGAGAAGAGTTCACTGTGAAAAGGCAGGTAAGGAAATCTCCAAGCACCAGGTGGGTGGGCTCAAGGCCAGGGACACAATGTGCCCCTACTCCCTCTACTTTCCACGGGCCTCTCACACTGACAAGGCGAGCTCCCTCACACTCAAGAGAACTGGTTTTGTTAGCCTGCAAGGAATGCTTCTTTCAAGGGATTAAGCAATGTCCTCCAGGCGGAAACTTTGCCAGATGCGGCCTTCTCTGGCCTCCTGGGGCAGCAGCGAGCCTGGGCCACATGTGTGAGCCTGTGCCGTGTGTGCGGCAGTGGGCTGTTTGCTATCACTGAAAGATCTAGGGCTCGCCTCACTGTCCTGGGGTAGCAGCAGGACTATATTCTTGGTTTTTGCTCCAATTAGATCAAGTGTAGGTGACATTCTCAGAACTTAGGCTCCTCAAATCTTTGGTTAGTGACTATGTCACTGCCAGAATATAAAAGTTGTCAAGGAGAAGTTAATGAGTGAAAACTATGGCCTTAGGGGATCAGGTGGTTCTGAGATTGCCTAAGCCATCACTTTGTATCTCTCTCTCTCTCTCTCTCTCTCTCTCTCTCTCTCTCTCTC